AATCAAGAAGAATTTAGAAGAAGGAATACTCTAAGTGTTTACTGCAGTAGTGTATTTTATTTGTATAGTAAACGACGACACATTCAAATTAGCTTCAGTTTGACAGTTTGTTAACAGGAATTATTTCGCTTTTGAAATTAATTAGCCTGAACCAAGTCTTTTATCAGTCTACCAGCCACAGGATTTCTTGCTTTTCCCTTTGAAAAAAACTAGACTTAAAACATGTCTGATCTAATCATCTAACTTCGTTTTTCAGGTCGTACTATCAGAGGAACGACGTAGAGTGTACTTGTCAAATTTTAATGGCACGAACTGAATTAATGACTTTAATTTCTAAATCACTTTTTAGAGACATTTTACTGACACTCAGAAATTATTGGTGATAAGAAAGCGAGAGACAAGAGAAAACTGATTTACACTGCACCCAAGGAAATTAATCATTTTGGGTCTGAATAATTCTTTTTAGCTTCGTTTTGAACGGAAACATTTCTTGAACGAGGCTGAATGCTGTACAATTATTTATACGGTAGCGGTACATACTGGACACGAATGAAAGAATACTTACGCTCTTTAATTTTGCGGTTAACACATATTTGAATCGAATTCTTTTGTGGTCACGGTCTCGTGAACTTCCCAGCTTACCCCATCTCGGGGGAGGCATATGTTCTTCAAAGGAAAAAATCATGTGTCTAAACCCCGCATATTGCATAGCGGAGTTTATTTAAAGTAAAGTCAAATTTTGAAATCTTCGAATGGCGAAAGAAAAATTCTCTTTGTTTTAAAAAATATATTTCGCCTCCTCACATCGAGTTCTTTGTCGCATTTTTAAGAAATTTTGAAGAGCTCTACCAAGGAAAAAATCGACTTTAATAGGTAGGATTTACGAAAGGTCATAGAAATTGTTTATGAGAAGACATGTATTTCAATTTAAAATGGTCTGACTGAGGTTTACTTGATAGAGCTGAAGGCTGAGAAATGTGATTGCCCCAAGAAGAAAAGAAAAAATAAATAAACCATTAGGAAAAGGGTTTGAAATGGAAAAATAATCATTTCTATTTCAGTCCTATTAAGTATATCTTCATAAAACTACACTCCAGAGAGTTAGTTCAAAAAAGCTGGCTGATTTTCTCTTGGTTTTAGTTTGCTTTTTTTTGTCTTTCACTGGCCCTATAGAAGGATATGCCGTTTAGAAAATCAATATTTTTTTTCACGCAGAATTCCTGAATGGATTTCATAGTAATATCAACCTAATTTCCTCGTCCCGCTGCAGGAGGATTGAGAAGTTTTCCACTTTCATTCGAGTTCATAGTGAGAGCAGTTTTTTTAGTTAAAAGATGAGTTTGCTTTAATCAACAGCTCGGTTTTATCAGGGATCTCCCAAAACAAGCTACGACCATACAATGTAATTTAACAAACAGCTGTGCTTAAGAGAATGAAAACTTTCCCGTATCGTTTGTGTTTTGTTTCTTGACCTTGTTCTGACAGGAATCGGCTCTAAACAAACAAGGAAAGAAATCGGCATGCAATGTGGGACGTAAAAGAGCTCTGAGCACAAATTAGGGGTTTAGAAGGATCTGGTAAATAAGTTTTTTTTTTTTATCCATCTTTTCCTGTCTTCAACAAAGTTAAACTTGATTCTCACTTTCTCATTTCGTTTAGCTTCCTCCAGTTTCCTGTCAGGCAGCAAAAGGGCTGAAATACTCCAAGGTAAATAAATTCACGAGCAATAACAAGTCTGTTCGTTCAATTTTCCACATAACTCTTTCACTGAACAGCGCAATGGGAATGTAGTTTTATACTCCATCAAATTCTATGTCGATGAAATTAACTAAACGTTGATCTTAATCCAATCAAGCTTTTTCTCTGTAGGAATTTAATTAACCAACTTTTCTTCTCTAAGTTGATTCTCTGCACGAGCACACAATCCTCTATAACCTGTGATTAAGCTGCACAACCAAGATAGTAAAAACAACAACAACGAAAAAACAATTCTATTGCCGTCACTAAATCAATTTTACAAGAGGTCATAAAAACAGCGCTTTTGACTTGATAATGCTGCTTTTTATAAGGAATTACTTTTCAAGAATTACAATTTTTTTTTAGCTCTATATGGCAGATTTAGGCTTATTGTTAGCGAAACTGTGAGCGTTGAAGGCCATTTGTTTGATATTGATATCATCTGAGCAGCTAATCTATTCAGCAGAACTTTTTGTGTTCACCTCTTTCGAACAATACAATTTCCTTATTTGAACATATTTTGGAAAGAAGAACAGGATGTATCAAGGGAAAAAAAGAGGAAAATATGTCGTTTATTTCAAAACCAGAACACTCAATAAATAGAGATTATGTTTCATGGAGATTAAGATATGGTTTTCACAATTATGCCTCTCCAATCATATAAGTCCAACTGAGTTCTTGTTTCACAGCGCAGATATACGATCACTCAAAGAACATTAATCAAAACTGACTTTAAAGCCTAAAACATATCAAAGAAAGATGAAAAGATCAAATCAATCGTAACATAAAATATCAAGTTCATTCCCTTTCCAAGACGAACACTCTAGCAACTAACATTATATATTTTCTTTCAAATTTTCAACGTGGCAATACTGCTTGTCATGTATTTATTTATTGGTTCTTGAAAGCGTTTTTGAGAATGTTAGCGCACTTAAGCACAACATATATGAAGCGATGTAATTGGTCAACTTGATAGTAATCAACCAATCACAATTCATGTCTTATTTTATACGTCCGTCAGTTTATCATGTCCAGAACGTGTTTTCACGAAACTTCGTCAGCAACATCAATAAAAAAAAGATGTTCCTTAACTTTTGTATTATTTTATCTCTGTAATAGCCGAAGAATAAGATAAGAGGTCTCTCCATCAAGCTAAAAACAGCTGAGGAATAAACAACATGCAAGATTGTGTGAACATATCGCCCAAAACCAAAATATTTTGGCTGATTTTTCCGCTGATTGCTCTTTGCTATGCAGCAAAAAACAACAGCAGCGGCGGCAAGCCGAATGGTAACATGGTAAGTTTATTTTTTCCAAAACATCACAACATTGTATTCATCATCATTCTCCGTCACTGTTACTCCAAAAGGGGACAGAAAAGGAGATATTCCCGAAAAATTGGAACAGAACGATGATTTCATGACCGAATACTTCGACTCTTAGAAAGATGAATTAGTCACAATGATTGATCATAAGAAAAATAGTCATATTTCTGACAGCATATAAATAAAGTTGCGTGTTCTGTGTTTTTTTTTTCTCCTGACACAGGGCACTCACCCATATCCGCCATATGGACTCTGTGCCTATGGTGCTCCCTTTGGCGCACCAGGTATACCAGGTATTCCTGGGAGCCCAGGACCCGCGGGACCCACGGGCATCGCAGGACCACCCGGTCCTCGAGGTTCCACGGGACCACAAGGGGACAAAGGCAACGCGGGAAAGCCTGGAAACCAAGGCCTCCCAGGTCAACAGGGACATTCAGGAAAAATGGGACCTCAAGGGTCCACGGGCCGACAGGGTCCACGAGGAACCAAAGGTGTGGCAGGGGATAAAGGAAGCCAGGGAGCCCCAGGCCTCCAGGGACCTCCAGGAGCTTTGGGAACTAATTGGAAACAGTGTGTTTTCAAAAATTTGAATGAAGGAAAGGACACTGGGTTAATAAAGGTATTTTTTTTTCCATTTAATTAATTGCAATTTTACAAAACCGTATTTGTCAATCATGCTTTTAATAGACGATTCCTACAAAATTTTTACTGAAAGAAGATCGAGTTGTGCAATAAGCCAAAAACAGAAACTGTGGAGTTAAACCTACATGTAACCAAAGATTCCCTTGACTGGACTTTAGGAAATTAATTTAGGACTTATTTCTCTCAGAGGTATTTTGAATCCATGTTGCTCATATGTACCATCATTTATTTCTCCAGGAATGCCTTTTCATCAAAAAGTCGGCCAAAACAGCTCTGCGTGTTTTTTGGAATGGCAACCTCCGCCTCGGTAACTGCCATGATTGCTGCAGACGATGGTATTTCACCTTAAACGGCGCAGAGTGCTCAGATCCTGCTGCAATTGATGGCATAGTCTATATGGTACATGGAAATAGCAACAAAAAGTATTTATACCGCCCCCGTCATATCGAGGGTGCGTGCGAGAAAGTCCACAAAGGTGTTGTGCGCGTGGGATTCTGGGTCGGAAACTGTAACGGTTACGGATCTGCTGACGCACGCACAGGCTGGAACTCAGTGTCCCGGATCCACGTGGAAGAAGTACCACCCCCACAGGCATAATGTCTAATACTACCATGGTTGCATAGTGGAAAGTTTGAAATAACGCGCATCATTGCTCTATGTCTAACATCAAAATACGAACGATAGCACGATTTAACAATCCGGATAAATAGCCTTAGATTTTAAAACAGTCTGGATAAATTGAATAAAATTGTGAATCAGGCATTTTAAGGTCGCACCTCTTGCATTTGAGCAACGTAGGGAGGGATGTTGTCATGACAACGTGCAAATGAAAAGAAGGTTTTCACGAAATATCCAGGAATGAGTGGTGTGAGTTTTTTTTTAGTAGGCTTCGATCATTTATTTTCTTTGTAAAAGATTTTGAGATGTTTACATTTTTCTGGTTATTTCAAAGTTGAAAAAAACACCCGTGAGCCAGTCTTGCCACAAACTGCTCTCCTGACGGAATATTTTCCGAAATACTGAGATTCATGTAAAGAAGTCCTTTATATACCAGAAATGTTAGGCTTCAAATCAAAAGTGGACATGGCCGAATGTTTTAGGCAGAACGCATTGAACCGTTTTCACTCCGAGGTGGTACCGTACTCCTCAGTCGTCCTATATTCAAAATAATCATGTTTATCGAATTATTCCCTTAAAGTAAAGAAAAAGAAACGAGCCTATAATCAAATTGGCAGTTCTGAAGAGTTCGTTGAATTTTGAATTCTGTGATTTCACTAATAACACAATCTTTTTTTTGCCTCTATTTTTCGTTTCATATTTATCAATCATTGCTTTAAACGTTCAGTCAGAAAGGGCGCATAACCTTCAGACGGGCTAGAAATATACTCATGTTACCCCGAGATGAGACATTTTATCACATCGATTTCCAATAAATAAATGCCAGTTACGATTAAGTTTAGGCTCGAAAAGTCTCTGCGGACATTTTCAGAAAATTACATGGCCCTCAGTTATACATGCTAATGAAATTTCCCAAGAAAAGCAACTGAGATGGAATTTTCTGACATCAAAATCAGACTTTTTATTAATATGAAGCCATGTATTCTAATATTAAAAATGATTTGATCGAGTTTTTCTACGCAGCGCCGTAAGCTGAGAAATCGCAATTTAGATCATGAAATTAAAAACCCTAAAAAAAATTTGAGATTGCGCCTCTCGCTTTTGAACTGCGCAGAGTAGGAATGGTGTCGTGACAACACACGAATGAAATGAAGGATTTTATTTAATATATCAATAATGTATAAATTCTATATCGAGTGTTTCCAACAGAGTAAGCTTAACTGCTACTACTCTAGCAAAATACCTTGATCTCCATTCGTCTTCAAGGTCATCGAGTCACTCTTATTCAACAAGATAAAAAAGTTCGAGCTGACTCGAGTTCAATTTGATAAAAATTCTCTCTCTTGATTTTTCCTCTTGTGCGTTCAGTGGGAAAGGAGAACAGTTGGGCGCATAATCTTGAGGGTCAAATAGATCAGGATAACAGCCGGAGGAAGTGCCAAAACCTCAGGAGTAGATTCCAAAGCAGCTTGATTCTGATGGAACAGAAAGTAGCTGCTTGAATAAGGAAAGGACAATTCTCGAAATCTCTAAAGTAATTACAGTAGCTGAATAAAATGCCATAGAATCAATAAAGTTGAGAAATTAATTTTCTTTGCAACCCTGTTTTTTCAAAGAAAAGGAAAACGATATTCGCTATACCACTCTCATTACTATCATTATTATTATCCCTTTTATAACGCACAAGCTTTACCTTTGGAGCCCAAGCCAGATGATAACGAATATTTGCCGCGCATTTTTTCAATCGTTTTCAGCTTTTTTCTTCAAGTATTAGCTGACATTACACGCAAGGCTTTTTGCTTTATAATTCCATAATGGTTGCTTATGATCTCACGATGTTTGTTCACTTTGATTATCATGGCAGAATAACGCGTTGTGTTTGTTAACTTTTTTGTTTGATTTTTTACAGTGGTATGTTGCGCACTTTTTTCTCGTGTTTGCTTCATCAAAACTGTGCGAAAATCAAACGTGATTGGTTAACGCCAGGCAGTGTATACGTAATGCTTGTAATTGGACAGTAAGTCTCGTGTGTGCAAGCTGTTGTTTGCAAATTTCAACTTTCTGCACTCAGTTTCAACTTTCTGCACTCAGTTTCAACTTTCTGCACTGATTCTGCAACTTATTTAAGGCATTACTACTCGCTAATCCATTCTTCGAAAATTCTCCGAGGCAAGCTAATGCGTATTCCTTGACCAAAACGTCCCATGCCCATTCAGCGGAAGAGTTTGTTATTCCCGCTTTACATACCTTGGTTACTTAGTTCCTTACATAACTTGTTCCATCCACTCAAAACTGCAGGATTTCAGAGCTTCGTTAGGGACAACTCTCTCTTTTCTATTTGAGGTTTAATATATGTTGCACAGTTTAATTCACCCGAGCTAAAATGACTCCAGCGAGAATCAAATTCCCCCGAGATCTGCTCGCTACAAATGCCACTGCAGTTTCCTTAATACCTCTACAATCGATAGTAAAGTTCATCGCTTTGTTTAAACAGACATGACGCTATGTCTTCATGAAAGAAGTGAGACCACTTAAAAAATTATTGAAACCATTCTGCATATTTCATTTCTATTCTATAAGAGGGGTGGGACTTTCAAGATACTACCTCAAAAGTGGTATTGTCTTTTCCATTTTAATTTCCCTGAACTATGATGAGCAAATTGAAAGTTGACTGTGAACTGTTGGTAATGACACAACTCGACAACAATGCTGCAGCTTAAGAGAAGGCTTACACTAATCAAAGATTTATCTCTCATCAAAGTTACCGCGCTACTGAAAAACTCCTGCTAACGTAAATACTGGGCTGTCTGTCAGTTGATAAAGAGAGAAACGCGGGCAATATGGTAACTTGGAAACGTGAAACATCATTGAAATATAAAAACAGCGGAGCCGCAAAGACGAGAAACGGGACTTCGTCCCAAGCTTCTTTGGGCTTTCAGCTTAACACTTTAAAGCACGCACAAAACCGCCAGCTGCGTGAGCTGGCTTCAACGGGATTCGAAATTGATTTCATTAAAATTGTGATCAGATTCCTTCACAGGGAAGAGTACGAAAGAAGAGTCCTTTAGAATTTGCCAAACTCCAAACGAGTGACTTTACATCAGAGTTGGTTGCAGTGCTCAACTTGTTTTCGGGAAGTACAGTATTCTCGTCAATAATTCAAAACCACCGCTTTTATTTTCTTATTTTGTAAATTTATGTGGCGAAGTTGAGATTATTACAATTTGTGTCAGGATATTGCTGCACAAAGCGTAGACCGACGATTATTTCAAGACGCTGAAGCCTCTATTAGTACATACTACCGAATGCGTAGCTCATCTTTACAAATGCCGTAACCGTTAATACAAAATGCTTCGTTGCACACGGGTTTGATTCCCGTCGAAGCATGATTTTTTTTTTCAAGCTTCTTTTCTGCAATTGCTAAAATTACAGCTGAGCTGCGCGAATCAGTTCTTCACCTATTCTTCTTCGTGACTTGCGAGAAAATATACAGCGAAGACGACAATACCATTCACACTTGGAATAACTGGAATCTTCCAAGCATCCTATTTTTTTTTCCAATATCGATGTCATGCAATGTGTGGGATTGGAAAATTCATATGGTATCCCAGTTAAATGTCGGGTTCTTTTGAAATCCATATTCCCTTGTTACAAATTTTTTTGTGATATATTTCCTTGTTGGTGAGAATCCCAGTCATTTGTCTCCTGCAAAGGCTGTATCAAATTCTCTAAAATTTTTTATCATATGATAGGCTGAAATGCACACCGATTTTGTGTGGTTCTTACTTACGATGTAATATAGATGAATAGATGACGTCACTATTAAAAACGTTTTCCTTCTTTGTTATTCAGTAATGGTCACTGATGACATCAAAATGTGGTAAGACTATAAGTGACACACTTGAGTGCCATTCTTTTTTATCAGACGGATGGCAACATGGAACACACCTGGATTAGCAGCGGAACTTGCCGTCAAAACACCTCTTTGCTGGTGCCACTATCACTGAAGAGACTATTTCACATTCCTAGTGACCAAATATATTTTCATTTTGTTTCCAAAACAAAGCGATTTTGATTCACCTAAGCCAATTTTATCACTCGTGGGAGTTAAAAAATGAGTGGGAGATTTTGCTCTTCATGATATTAAAAAAAGTTTAATATTCTCTCACTGATTGTCTGATCTCTTCGTTTATCACAAGTTTTTCAAGAAAAGTCTGAACACAATGATTATATAACCTACAACAAAGCAAACCCACCTCCTTAACATTTTCTTAATGTAAATTTTCTCAACGGAAATTTCTCAATACCCTCAAATTTGTCTGGCCTGGTATTTGAGGAGAGTTTCATCTTTTATGATGACTTGAAAATTCACCCATACCAGGCGATGTTTGATCATAGATTGCAGCTTAATTTGTGATGTTGAACCATGCAGCTGATCAATGGGGGAAAAAAAAGCAACGATATTGAGTCAAGAGTGACGTATAAAAGCTTACAATAGACTTACACCAACACTAATCTCATTTTAGAATTTGCGGGTCCCGACGGAAGAGCCTTCTTGAAGATCTCTGGGTGCGGGCTGACTTGGCGTGAATCAAAAGTTCTGTAAGTAAACATTATTCGTAGCTATAGTTGATAGTCATATCCGTAGTTTACAAAAATAGATTAATTGCATTTGTAGCTTTGGCAGTTGTTTTTGTTTTCTTAATGCATTCTAGAATATGTTCTCTGTCTTACAATCTCGTTCAATAAGGTCTATAACATGCACACGTTGCTCAGTTCTGATCTTGCAGACTGATTCGACTATAGTGTCGGAGATAAAAGCAAAATATTAGAAAAATATGATGACATCAATTAAATTTCATGATATTTATTCTTCCCTCAGTATTGAAACATGAAAGTTGGTACCTTTCTGGTGTTCGGCATCTTACTGGTTATGTCGTTCTATGAAGAAATTCAAGCTCTTTGTCACCCCAATGGATGCAGCATTCCGTTTAATCTTCCTTACTTCTACAAGAAACGTTTCACCCCGGCTTGCAACAAGCATGATGTCTGCTACGCTTGCGTAAGATATATCTCTTCTACTTTGCACACAAACGATATGCAAAATCCAGTGGTTCTTTTCTGAACGGTTTATTAGCATGAAAAGCTGACCAAAAACCTTTCAAATGTGTCGCGACTTCACAATTTCAGCCAATCAATAGGCAAAACCGTTTCACTTATTACAAGCCGCTATGATTCTTTTAGAGCTGAGTCACAATTACGCTTGACCTAGTAGTTTCAGTGGTCGTAAGAACAAATAAACCGGCTGTTTGTGTTTTTTTCCTCGTAGGGTGAAAGCAACAAATGGAGTCGATATCAGTGTGACCGCGCGTTTAAACGTGATATGGACGACTTGTGCCAAGGGCTCAATATCACTAAAAAACTCTGTAGAGCTTTTTCGGTTCACTACTACAATGCAGTTCTCCTCTTTGGAGGGAAACATTACAAAAAGACCTCTTTGTCCTGGTGTAAGAACTGCCCTAAGGAGAGAGGCGATCCCAACGCGAGGCTGGGACGTTGAAAAATAATAAAAACTGGAGGACGAGGATCTTCAAACCCGAAGTGGCATCATCGACATAATTAAAAACTGTAACGTGATTAAAATTGAATTAGAAGGGGTTAGGCTGAGGACGTTTAATGATGTTAATGATACTTGAAGTTATAATATCGAGCCTATATTAATTGAATCAGTAAATTCATTCATTTGGAAACAGATGTCGGTCTCTTTATCTACTCTTTTCAGATATGCTGCTCAAAATGAGTGTGTTCCCGTCTTTGAGGCTACTTACATGTGTTTACTTGAGTTTCCATGGCCCCTTGCGATATTTTTCAAGGTTGCGATTGGTCATTATATTGACTCGTGTTTGCTTTGGTTCAGACTCGTCACCATGCCAAGAGATACACTTTGGAAATAGGGAATACTTTTAAAGACGTTCCGAAATTATTGGAAACTTTTCTGTAGGAATAACTTGGACTGTCAGAGGAATGGAGCGGAACAGGGGTCGAATTTTCAAGGATCAAAACCTTTGTCGAACCCAGTTAAAGCAGAAGTACCTGTGGTAGTGTTACGAAAACATGCACGATTATGAACAGGTCACCTGGACATCTCCAAAGCTGTTATAAAAAGCCAGAACTCAGAAAGTCTTATTTATTACCTTTGTATATCGGTAGGTTTACTATATAAGTGTGAACCGCCGCAAAAGGTGTGGTTTTTCAGCCGTTTTATTTTTCTGGAAACGAGTGTTGATTTTTATGGTAGAGGTCATACATCGTGTAGGGTTTCTAACTTTATCGATACATTCTTTATTTTAAAAAAATTCAAAATAATCTGTTATCGAACGAAAAATCCCGTCATGTTCCTTTGACATCAGCAGACTTTCCACCAAATACTGTAACTTATTGATTGACAGAACAAAAATCAAATAGTTTTTCTGACCTTTATCTCTTTAAGTTCCCGCAACAAATCAATACCAGCCGCCCCTTTTTGCTAAAAAGCTGATATAAAGCATTATGTGAAGTTTTGTTTATATCGCTGCTAAAATACTACGACTGGAAAGCTGAAGACAGAGTGGGGAATAGGTGAGGGCTTCGGGCAATAATTACAAAAAAATTGCTAGCAAAATAGATAGCGCGAAAAAAAATCCTGCGTAGTGAATAGGAATTGTTGTATTCTATTTATTTTGCTTTGATCTACACCCAAAATAAAAGAAAACGTCGCGGTCCACCCATAAGCACATAGCGTGGTTAGGTTGCAGTTAAATCTCAGAAGGAAAAGAAGGTCTTTTCAGCTTTCAGCGAAGCTTTCGTTGAACTCGACGTATCTTCGCAAGAATGAGCAAGACTGGGCATGAACTGGAGTTGGTCATACTTTTGGTCATCGAACTCAAACTTTGACGCATGCTCAGTATCAACAACATTCGTCATCGTCGAGTTGGCTGCCATATTGTTTAGATTTGGAGGAGTACTTTTTCGGGAAAATCACCGTGGATTTTTAGACTTCCCTCCCCTGTGTGGTCCATGATTAGTAATGGCGAAATCAAAGTCAGAACAAGTGCTGAGGCTTGAACCAACTTCAGAACTACGCTTTCGGGGTAATTCTGTAGTGTCATTTTAAATTGCATCGTTAGTCGTTTCAGACGTGAGTCAAGTACAGCTTATGTTTAACTATGCATTCACCTGGTCAATTTTACGTCTAGGAAATTTCACCGAAGTCGTCACAGCAAACCTTAAACTCACAAACCCCTCCGAAAAGAAGGTCTGTTTTAAAGTAAAAACTACGGCTCCAAAGCGATACTGTGTTCGCCCGAACAGTGGATTTGTCGAAGCTGGTGGGGTGGTGGAAGTGGCCGGTAAGTTTAACAATTTAACTTCCCACCTCATAAAATCGTAATACATATTTTATAACGATGTCCCTTTTTGTTCAGAAGATTTTGAAACTACTTAGTTCTTTATTTGAAAAAAATTACAATGGTCTCTTAAATTGTACATTGAAAATTTGTCCGAACGCATGTTCATAACCTTTCAAATTATGTTAAGGTTTCACTTGATGAAAAGAAAGATTGTTGTCTTCGTTATAATGACTCGATTTGTTACACGAGTTATTTTTTACTTGATGGTATTTTTATTAAACCTGTTGATGCGGTTTCAAATCTCGTGACTTGTTGCTTCAAACAATACTTTTTTTTAGCGTGAAAGGCAATAAAGAACGGGTGATAAGCAGATCATTATTATGTCTAGTCTCCAGTCATCTCCAATGTTTAGATTCAATATTTGCAAATTCTATTATTTTAGAAGGAAATTCTGGTGTAAACTTGTGTATCCTTTCCTAGGAGAATTTTTTTTGCATCCCTATGTCAATGTTCGCTCGCACGATGAATAAACCTGATTACTTGCGGTAAAAGTTATCCTGTGGAAACTTGCACTCGTGTGCTTCCCCACGTGATTGTAAAATTTATTTGACAAGTAGGATTTCCTTTAAGAATACACTATTTGGCAGATTTAACATTTGAAAAGTATTTTTTCATTTGAGTTCAAAATCTAATCAGAAGTTTCAAGTTGTTCTGTCTTTTTGTTCTGAATTTTGCAACAAGCCGAACATTTAATTGAATTTTGTTAAAACATGTGGACTCTATGTAGGGATGGGACAGATGAATGAAAATTTTAATGTACACTAAGTCCTGACTCTGTTATCATCCCAAAATGTCTTATTATAACTGAATTATGCCTTGTGACTTTGATTTAATCTTCAAGTGCCTCTTCACATGATCATGGCCATTTACAATGCCATTTACAATGCCATTTACATGGCTCAGTTACAGAGATATCAATTATCAAATTTGGTTGATATGTAAAAAGAATTTCCTGCTAGTTACCTCATAATTTTGATCATTTTGCTTCATTCAAAGTGGTTATCTGTTGAAGAGGTTTAAATAGTTCTTTTTCCCAGTTAATTTGGCAGTAATGCAGAAGTGTGTAAAAATTAATCAACTTGTGATTTCTAATACAACTTGTAACAGATAGGGATATTTCCTGAGATATACTAATATACCTGCAGGATTGGTTACTTTTGAGTATACTTGACAACCATTCATCTCAGTATTGGTGGCTAGTAATGGATCTATATCAAGCTGCATAGTGGAGGAGTAAAAATATCTGCCACTCACCACCAACACTGAGATGAATAGTTGTTTAAGTATATACTAAAACAGTGATATAATATTGCATAAAAGAGATGATTTTAACTTGTGTAATCCTGGAACAATTATAATATTTTTGGGCACAAATCCTGAGCAAGTTTCTTTGAGGTAAATAGCAAAGGATATTCAAAGGTTGAATAGCCAATCAGTAGCCTTCAATGCTATCTACTGTTTCAGTATATACTTATGATTGTTATCATGTCAAGGTTTTTACCAAGTAGAGGTTGTATAATTTATCAATTTTCAGTAAGGCCACTCTTTACATTTATGCCTGTAGCCTACAGTGTATTTGATATAATTTTTATGATGTTTGAATTGTGATCTTACAGTGATGCTACAGCCATTTGAGTATGACCCCAAGGAAAAAAGCAAGCACAAGTTCATGGTGCAGACGATGTTTGCTCCCGAAGGAGATGCAGATCATGAAACTTTGGTGGGTTGTTGCACATTACACATTTCTCAACTGCAAGTATATATATTGATGAGGTTGATTAGTTGGTCCCTTCTAAGCATGTTATTTTCTGATACATTATGGAAAATATACATCTTCCATCTCAGAACTTGGAACAGGGATCCTTTCAGCCCCTTTCTTAGAAAAATATCTGGTTTATAAAATTTCTAAAGACAAATATTGCATTTCTAATGTTAAAATTATTTCACTCTACTCTGGTTATCAGCTCATATCCCGAGTCAACTGATATGGAAATGCATTGCACCAAATATTGCAAGGCTGAAAAAGCTCGAAATATCCAAACATTTAGGACGTAATGAAATTTAATAAAACATTTGTTCCATTTGTGTTTTTTGGATGTGAGATTTGTTATTGCTAACTCAGTGCCATATGCCTCATTTGATATATACCATCTCGTATCCAAAGCGCACTAAAGGAGTACCTGGAGGTAATTGTTTATTAATAAACAGCAATAATCAAAGTGTAATGAAGTGCGTTAAAGAAGTGTTTTCTCAACCAACAAAATATCATTCCACTGTCAATTAACCTATCCCTAACTAGCAGTTCCTCTTAGCTTACAGCATTCTCTCTATGTGTAGCATCAAATTAGAAGTTAGCTATTTCTCCTCAGTTGGTAAAAATGCTGAATCTTGTCCAGGGACATGGGAATGAACACAAAAATTCACTGTTCACAAACTTTTCAAGAAACCTTTTGGGTAATCTTTCTGCCCAATGATGAAAAAGAAGTTTGTAAGGTCAACAACAGCTGCCTTCTGAATGCCAACTTGTACATAGAATGAATATTCTATTTCATACCTTAAAAAAATGCTTATCAAGTTTTTTTAACCTGTGTAATACGATTCTAACTGAATGGAGATGTGTGTACTTTGTGAAATTTTATGCAGACTGGTCACTTTACCACAAGATTATCACCCAACATAGGCAGTGGGTGCTAGTGAGTCCAAAATGGTATCCTCACATGAAATCCTGTGGCATTCAGATCAATTCTTTAATAAAACAACAATGAAGTACATGTTTATATCACACTTTTGTGTTAAATATTTTACTTTTTTTATTTTTGACAGTGGAAAGAGGCTGACCAGAGTCAATTTATGGATTCTAAACTGAAATGTGTCTTTGAGTATGTAGATGATGGGGAAGGCAATGCGGAGACTTCTGTAGGAGGAAATGTAAGTGCTGTTATGCAAGGTTTCTACCATGGGATGGTTTGAGAGATTCCTGCTTGATGGCTAGATGTCTAATGCTGTAAAAATTGGCAGAGGGTAAAAATTAGTGACAACATGGTCAACTTGGATTTAGTGAAAGTTCCTTCACATAGGGCTATTAGTAGCTTATCCATTGTTTCTATGGGAAAGTTGTTTTGAAGGAGCTCTCTGTCTTTTCTTTGAGTACTTTAAAAGATATGTTTACATGTACCTGTATCATGTTCAATAATAGAAGTTCTCCTGGTTTAAATGGGCTTGCCCATCACTCACATACAAAGAATCCACTTGTTTAATAACTCTTGGGATTCCTTTTTTTCCAGTTGTCAGTTTTTGTGGTCTTTTTTCAAGACATTGAGCTCGTCAAATCACCTGTCTTAAGACAATTCTTACAAAAATGTACTAATCTTGTCCATAAACTCTCTGTTTTTCACTTTTCTGATAACATGTGTAAGTCTTAGCTTTTAATGATTTTTTAATTCTTGTTACAGACAGGCAAAATGTAATCCTAAAAACATGTTTTGTTGTTGAGAGAGACAGCCTTCATATGCATTAAGCATCACTTGAAACTACTTAGGGTGAAAAATGTTCACAGTTTTAAATGGTAACTATTTTGCACAATGCACCACAGTTTACAGCTAAAAACAACTGGTGATTGTTAGCTTTTTCAGCTTATATCTATGCTTCTTGATTCTTACAGTGGATATTAGAAATTTGACATGTGGACTTCAGTCACAAACTGGGTGAACCCATTACCAACTGTTCAACTCATAGCCAGTCAGCAATTGTTGTATACATTTTTTTACCTTGTGCTTACACTTTTTAATTTCTTCTACTATTGGATCTCTTGTGGCATGGCAGGAAAATGAGGTTGCAAACAAAGAGCAGCTCAAGGTTCACAAGACAGAGACTATGGCTGAGTTCGAGACCCCAGCCCCTAGTTCTACTAACATTCCAGGTAGCCCTTATAAGGAGCAAGGAGTGGAGGTTACAACATCAACAAGATCATTGCAGGTACCATCCTTTAAGAGCATGGTGCAAGAAGATTTTGATTGCATGAATTAGTTTGCTACACCAACAGCATGATGATTCCATTTCAATTCACGCAATAAATTAAAGTTCTACGAACTGACGAAAGTAGATGTAACTGAAAAACTGGTAATCCTGTCCAATGGATGTGCATGGAGAAACCAATGGTCTTGGGATTTTTTTTTGTGTGTGTTTGGGGGATCCTACCATTTACAAGGTGTATT